ATGAGTGATCAGGCACGGAAATACCGTATGAGAGTAGATTGAGTGGTCACTCGCTAGACATTATGCTGATGCACTTGTCCTACGTTCAAACAAACGCGCTTAATTAGATATGCCTCTTTTCTGACGTTCACGAAGGACATTAACTCTGTCACGTTCGTTCGTGTCCCGCGGCTAAACAGAGCAATTTGTCTGTCCATTATCGCGGGGCGTAACACAAAGGCGAGAGGCAGCTAACTTCGGTATTGGACACCGAGCACGCGATGGCACGCGATGCAACCGATGAGTATATATATATGTATATATATATAATCTATTTTTTACATATATATGTATTACATATATATTTATGTATTTTACATATATACATATATCGGCAAAGGGTAAAAGTGAATGGAGAGAAAATAGAGAGAAAAGATAGCGCGGGGGGTGAAGAGATAAGCGCGCAGTGCGTAAAAGTGGAAAACAATGGTAGACGGAAATACAAAAATGATAGAGAGGATTATTTTAGAGGGCGATGCGGTTCGAATCCCGACCCGACGTTCGGGGAAACAGTGCCGGGTGGTTTATACCCGCTGTAAAATGCGGCGGGAATGTTTCCCCCCCTATGCGAAAATTATAGTGGGTCGTAAGACTACCGCGCGCGGCTGCGGATGGTGAGCGCCAGCGATGCGGCGAGGCGCGCTGGGGCTGAGGTCGGGAAAACGGCGCGGCGCCGTGCCGCGCCGCGCGCTACGACGGCCGCGGCGGCGGCGGCGGCGGCATATGCCGTATACGGCGCCGCTCCACTCGTACATCAACAACGTGATTCCCATGCATACTGCTCACAATCTCGTCGCTCGCGCGGAGCGAGAGAGGTTGAGAAGAGCGGGAAAGGGGGACGGAAAGGGGATGCATATGCATACACGCGTGACCTCGGGCCCTCAGCGTGCATATGCGCCCGGGTTGTTTCCCCCGAGGGACACGTGTGTGTCTCCGTCCGGACGCACGTGTGCGTCCTGGTCCTGTGCCCGACTCGCTCGCGTCTGTCACGCTCCTAAATTCATGTTTCGAGGTCGCGCTACGTCGCGCACGTGTCACTCGAGGGGGTTGATAGGAAAAAGACTGTTTCCGCCGTTTTCACTGTAACCCAGTGCACCATCGTGGTATGCAGTATCTGTTCGCCAGCAACCGAAATGTTTCGCCACGCGCTGCAAGTCGAGCCGTAAACTGATTGCATTAATTTAATAAACTGCATTAAGATAATTAAGATGTCAAACGTATCTTCAGATGCATCTGGCTGACTCGATTTACCAAGATGATATCACACTTGAGGAATCTTTCTTAATTAAAACGTTGGTTGTCACGCGGTCTTTGAAGATTTTCCAAGAAATAATTTTAAGAAAGTTAATTCCAATTAATTCGCCGAGTCTTTATTAACAACTTATTAATTTATTTTATCGAAGCTTATTAAATTGTTTCTTTATTTATGTTGTAATTATAATAAAATGTATAACGCGACCTGAACGCGAAACTTAAATTATGTAATATTTTGAATACGGTGGATACCGCTTACCCGATCGTTCCGCGCGGCGTTTTAGATCGCATTAACGTTTCAGTGATTCCTGATAACGTACATCCCGAGAACGACGTATGCGGGCAAGATATATTCGCGAGAAGGTAAAAGTTAGACGCGTAAACTTGAGATTGGTTGCTTGCTGCGGTCTCCCAATAGGAAATCCTGATATATCTCGAGTTTCGCGTCAAACTTTCCGACGCTACTTGGCTTCGTTCGCGCGAAGATATCCTTCCGTTTTTCCGATTTTCTTTTGCGCGCGCTCATGCTACGCTACACGTACATACATACATACATATATTCTTCGTTTCCACGCCCGTGGTAATTTTGTCGAGCATGTCGTACGGCTCGCCGTAAACCACGTACCAACGATGAGTCTCGTGCTCAAAGTGCCTGCTTGTAATTGCCACGCCGGTCGTTTGCGGGCGGCACAAGGGAGGACGGCAGCGCTCGCCCCCGGGACGCGAAATACAGAGGGCACCCTTCTCGTGAAATGTAGCGTTAATCTCATTGTTTCATCGTATCATCACTGCGATACAAATTAATTACTCCTCGAGTCACTTATCGCGATGACCTTTTGATGAAAAGGTGGCTTAAGCCGTAAGAAGATGCTTTGAGACAGAGACGTATTAGGCTTCATTAAGGACTTTGAATAGCTAATTAATGTGCAGGAAGTACATGGCATATTTAGTATTTACGTTAAGCCGGATTCGAAACTAAGCAAACGAGCGCGAATGTCAAATCACGATCCTCGCTGCAGCAATAATTGAAGCAAGTTGCTGATTCATATTTGTTTTCGCTCGTTTGCTTAAATCCTCTACACTAACGTCCGAGTGTTTTTTTTAAATTCAATTAAGGAATATCTAATACATCGTCGGATTGATTACAAAAAATTTCGAGGAGAGTAAAATCGTAGTCGGATAAAAAAACAATCCCGTTTTTTTTTCGACACGCATTTCACGAGCAAATTCAAATCTGTTCTACGTTTAAAATATGAAACGAATATCGTAATTACATCGGTCCAAAGCGGAGTTCTCCGTAGCTCCGAGTAAATGTACGATATATTTTTTTTATTTGTTCATACAATACGTATATTAACTTTTATTTTCAAGTTCTGTGATTTATATTAACGTTTCTGAGTTTGATACACAGTCACAAATATATAATTTAAACTACAAAACTATTTTTCCGCGCTGGGGTACATATTGCCGGAAGTTCAAGAGTGCATTTGCTATACTGCCGGTGATATAATAATTATTACAATTTCGCAACGACACGAAACGTTGCGACGGAACGTTGCCGAGCGGTGGACTGCGCGACGGCTGCTAAAGATTACATTGAATTTAAATAATCTAAATATCCCTCGTAGTGTATTCCTTTGATTCGGTTAAATTTCCTTCTCCTCCGCGACCTTCTCGTCCGCCGGCAGCGTGTACGTGGGGAGGGGTTAAAAGCAGAGAGCGAAAGAGAGTAGCGGACATTTCTTTTTGCGTGGAAAAACAACGTGGAGAAAGGGCAAAGAGCATATAGCGACGCCGCGAGTCACACGAAAGAAAGCAACTCTCAAAGGACGCGCGCGGACAAGTCACCCTCAAAGGATGTATCCGGAGTATACCGACCGCAAGGGAGACACACGAGACCGGTAACTCGATAAATAAAGAAGCAAAAATGGATAAATCGGGAACGAGCCGGCCAAACGGCTCCTGTTTCCGTTATCCAGAAAAAAAGGGAGAGAGAAAAAATCTCGGTGAGCTTTGTCCTTGGTTGTTTTAGTTCGCTCTAACGGGTTGTTTTTTGTTTCCCAACGGGCGCGTCCCGAGTTTCATGGTGGACAAAAAGAGGATAGGAAAGCGGTTAGTAATGACGAGGGGGCACAATAGCGGATAGTTAACGCATAGATGCGTCGATTGGTCGCGCGCGGGCGGGCCCGGGCTCGTTGGGCGCTCGTTCACAACGAACTCGCGCGTGCGTTGTCCGAGTGATACAGAATGGCAAGCGACATCGCGGGTCGCGAGCGAAGCGTTGAATTGTATAGGGAAGAAAGGAGACGGCGGAGACGGCGCGGCGGGCGCGGGTCGTCAGTTAGTGGCCTTCATTTGGGTGCAAATGGAGTTTTTTCCTAAATGGACGTTTCGAAAGTTTGCCGCTGTCAGGCATTGTTTGGTCGGCGGCGGAAGGAAGGGAGGGACGAGGATCGGGTGAGCGCGGGACGCGCGGCAGAGTCGAGTGCAATGCGGAATCAGTCTGCCAAGGCTTTGATTAGCTGGCGTCACGAGGTCAAAGGCTTCCCCAATTGTTCGCCTCGTATTTATAGTTGATTCGTTCGTTTTTCTCGCTCGGCAATTGTCGCTCTGCCTGTTCCCTGTCTTTCCCGTATTTTTCGTATCTTTATCTCCTCTTCCCTTTTTGTCCCTTCCCCTTCAGGAGGGATTGCTTTTCGTATAAAAGTATAATAAGAAGACATTCCGTGTCTTATTATTGTGTCCCACATATATTGCTTATCTAGTGATTCCAATTGACACATTTGTTGATGATCTAATAAATTTCTAAAAATTGTTCTTCCTGCCGCGTCTTTTATTCTCCTCATTTTTTCAACTTCAATTTCGAATTTCTTTCACCTTATTTTTCCTTGTTTGCGTCGAGGCGAGCCATTTGTTGGTTCGGTTCCGTCGTATAGTTGATTATAGATAGGCCACGCCGCCGCGTTTGTTTGCTGAAGCTCTTATCTCTGTAACACCATACTTGGTACAATTAATCGTACACTTATTATCTATATTACATGTTAGCTATAACTTGAATGAAAATTATCGAGTAAAAGACGTGTTATGAGAAGACATGTGCTACAAGAGGAAGACAATTCCTATGTAATAACGCCAAAATTATCACTGCTGTTATTCACTCTTCCTTTTATTTACGATCGAAAATAGGTGTTTCGCGTCGAATGCGAAAATCCCTGGACACGAGGTAAATTTCCGTGGCTCAATCGGCCGTATATATCGCTACGTGATCGAAACACGAGCGACGGGGCACTAAAAGGAAAAGCAACGATTTCCCGTTGCTTTACGACAGTAATTAAACGCGACTTCGCTTCGGAAACCGCAACTAATGCTTGCCTCCATTCGATCCCGAAGCTTCATTTGCCCGCGCATCCAATGACGCCGTGCCACTTTGATCTCGAGTTGAGCACTTACGAAAGTGAGATCGCTCAATCTATGAGCGCGTTAGCGTTTATTTACTATCGAATCAGCAATTCGCTCGGATTCGCGTTCCCCGAACAAGTCGAAAAGCACTAACAAATAGCAGATCCGAAATGTCACGGTGCGCTTCCTGTTATATTCGCCTATTTACTTACGTTATAATTGTCGTTATAATTAAATCCAGTGCGTTTCCCTATCAAAGTGTACGTGTGCATTATGAAATTACCTAGATTTAATAAATTTCTGTGCAGTGCCGAAGGTGGAAATAGTGGACGAGCATGGCGCTACGGCCGGTGACAAGTTCTACAAAGCAGGTAGTACAATAGAGCTGAAGTGTGTAGTCAGCAATATACCGCAACCTACCGGCTATGTCACGTGGCGACACGGATCTCGTACGTTAAATTACGACACGACTCGTGGTGGCATCAGGTAAGCATAATAGACGACACAATATTTGGGTACTGCGAGATCTTAAATGACGCGATGTAGTCGGCGATACGTAACGAATTCGTAGCTCTATTGAGGCGAAGCATCGCGGGCTTTGATCAATATTCACCGTTACGGTTATGTATTATCTATATTTGACGTGCAGCGTAACAGCACCGCGCGCTTAAATATACCTAGTTAACATTCTAGTAATTTGGTCGACGAGAGAACTCGATGGTTTATGCAGCCTGCATAGGCAGGCATTCTAATTGCCTCGATAAAGAATGGCACGCCGGGTGAATTTTGAAAGGCTTCTATTAAAGTTCTCGGGCGACGGTCAACAATTGCGGCGGCTTCTGGCGTGTGTGACCTAATTGGTTATAGATATGACAGCATTCATGAATATCAAACAGCGCTTCAGACAGTATCTGATGTTGTCGGTTTCGTAGAACGATTTTTCAATCAGCGGTTCATCGATAAAACAATTTCGAATTTTTTCTCAGACGTAGCGCGCAATATAGTCCCTTTGTCTCGCCGTTTGATGTGTAAACCCTGCTTCGTTCGTTTTAGATTTCGTTTTAGATATCGGTTAATTCACGTCACAACCTTGACAATTTACGCGAAATGATAGCGGCGCTTGAAAGATCTGTGAGAAATTAGCAATATCGTGATCGATATTGAGTGCGAAAGGATACGAGGTATCACAGGTGAACTGTTGACAATTTAATCACTCTCGAAAACGCTCGATTATAGTGGGCCGATACACATAATGAACGAGCTCGTTGCTTGCGCCAAACGCAGGCAGCGGGGCTTTGAATAAAACATACGAAACTTTTAATCACAAACCGGGTCACAGGTACGATTAGCAGAAATTAGATCGATTAATTGAAATTAACTTCGAAATTATTTCAGAATTTGAAAATAGCTGCAATATTATTTGAAACGGATAAAATTATTTTAAATAAAATCGACAAGGAATATTTGATTAAGTGCATTAGTAACAAATTTATTATTTCAGATTTTATTTTTACAATAAAATCAGAATGATATTGACATTTATGCGTTAAATCTACGTCTGGAAAAATATTACATTTCGTCATCTTTAGTAACATTGACTTTTTTATAGAATTTATATCCTCGAAATATGCGAAAATATTATAGACGACGATTCAAGCAATGCTTTTCCCAGGAATTTTGCGTAAGATAGCATTTCTAAATCAAAATTACATTTCTTTTGTTCATGAACATTACGGACGGATCGTAACAATCGATCGTACTAACGAGCGATTGTAAGTTGTTTTTATTTCGGTCAGACCGATATTATACGAATGACATGGCATAATACGGAAACGAGGACAGCGTAAATAGAAGGTGTGGGCAATTTATTGAGTACATTCTATTACCCCTTTGATTGCCCCTAGTAGGTAGACGTTTTGCGAGATCGTTAAATCGAACGCGTCAAATGCAGCGCTGCAAATAAACGACGTTCGATCACGCCGCGCCGCCGCGCGCCGTCGTCTATCGTGATTACTGGCTCACTGGATCCTATAATGGCATGCATCGGCTTTCCTCACTTGATGAACCATTATGAAAAGACTGTATCATCGCATCTCGCGAGTTGCGTTCTCGCTATATCCTGAAAACGTTTTCGCAGGTGTTCCATATAGATTATAAGCGCGCACACGGAGCGAGCGGGGGGGGGGGAGAAATAATCAAACTTCACGCTGTTTATGACATATAATCTTCGCGATGCAATCATATTTGTCGGCTTAAATTTATTACTTCACCATGCCTTCCTACGTGATAAAGTTTTCGTTTTTCATTCCAGGATATATATATATAAGAGTAAATTTATATATGTTAGTTTCTTATTGTGTTAGTTTCTTATCTCATCTAACTTTATAGGCTTGCACATTTCTATCTACTTGTTGATGTGAAAACTCTCACCGGCTACACGTTAAACGTCTGGAGGATGCTAGGTTGATACGGCAGGCAGTACAGTCGGTGAAGTTAGTTAGCAGTATAATGTTATTATGTTCTACACATAGTGTTACACTTCACTGTCTCTAGTACCTCGTACGTAGCTTGCCGACCTCCCGTCTATTACTCTTCACCTTGGGCGTTCCCTAAGTTGGTCAAGTCTGTGAAGTGCACGCCCCGAGCGTGCATCGCCAAGGCGCGATGCTAAGCTCAACGTAATCAAGTGATTCTCCGGTAATAGAAACATCGATAATAACGAAATATCGCGTTACGTGACTTCCAATAACGACGAGCAATTAGGAGAGCTCTTAAATGCTGCACAGGCAGATTGTTGAAATAATGCTAATATTATTACAATCAATGTGATATATTACCAGAACCGCGCTCAGTCTGTATGAGATACTAACGCAATTTTAGAAGCAGTAAATTTAATCTTGTAGGGAAGAATTGCAAAGGGCTTAATATGGCTAGCACAGCTGATACTAATATAGTATTATTAACTAATATTGCGTTTAGTAATTTAATGTCACTTGTAGCGGCCACAGTTTCACGGTAGCCTAATACCGAAAATGTTTGTCGAAATGTTGGATCGTTAAGCTTTATGAAAATCTTTTTTTATCTTTAAAAATAATAGAGTAACAAACCTCGAGATCACGAACGTTTTATTTTAATAAAAAGTTCAATAATGGAGTTAATACGTTAATAAGAATACTAATAAATATAAAGTGAAATACATTGCATTGTGCACGATGGTATCATTGGTCGGCGCTCCCACGACGTGGACGGCTCGTTCGTAATAGTGATACGTGCGGGCTGATCCATTACTCGGCAAATCAATTAGGACATGGGCGTCGTAGCGCGGAAAAAAAAGCGTGACGAAAACAAAGCATTTAATCGGATTTTGTTTTATCGGCCGTACACGCTGAACCCACGGCGGCAAATATTTCATGGCAACAAGGGGGACACTGTGTGTGGTGCTCCTTTTTTTTATATCAGTGTCTGCGATAAAATAGGCCCCATATTTCAAAATTCTATTCCGGTCACACGGCTTTTTGTTATCCTCTTTTCGAAATAACGCCGCCGAAATGTCGATATTATTACTCGGCCTTCTGTGCAATATCTGAAAGATTTAAAGAAAAAGTAGCACAAGTGGACGATAGTTGTATCTGCAGCGCAGTTGGGTATTTCCATTTGTTAACATCTTGCAAAACATTATAGAGAAACTGTTCGCATAAATAATGGTCTCTGATAAACGTAAATTTTCCTACGGATGATAAAGTGAAATATTATATGAAATGAATTACGTGAGAAACGAATAATAAAATACTCTAAATTTTCTGAAGTGAATCTGACTCCAAAGGAGCGAAAATACTCGGCCACTTGAGTGGCAGTATTTTCACTTGGAGTGAGATTTTACTCTAGAAAATTTAGAGAGTAAAATTTGTAATTACATTTTGATAAACGTTTGTCTTCAAAATTAGACAAGAGCAAAGTGAACGGATTACGTACGGATCGATCCTCCGATCAAAAGTTTGTATCTTATCGTAAACTTTTATGAAACTTACGGGATGACTTCTTCATGGCCGCTACCCAGAAACGGGTTGTATATACGTCGCGCGCGAAAAAACGCTGCGGCAGTGCAGCGAAACAGAGGTGACTGTGTACAGAATATGTTATAAATAAATACTGCATGCTCACGAAGTTTTTTCCTGTTAGCGTCCATCGGCGTGATATAACTTTTAAGTTGCCCCTACTTTCCACCCTCATATTATTCCATATTGCGTTCAAATATAAGAAGATTTCCTATGAAAAATGAAAATAAATCCCCCGCGCTGAATTTACCGATTTTCAAAGCTAAAAGTACGGTGATAAAAAATCTACCGGGGCCGTCGTAACAATTTTACGAACGTTTCCCCTTCTTCTTTCATTTTGTACGTATTTCTTCGCGATATAATTTTTTTTTTTAAGTAATTAAGTCTTGTACGACTTGCATTTCTATGATAGTTTTGTTTATCGATAATAATTGAATTTAATTTGACAAGATTTGTAACCGTGACCGGCTAAAAAGGTTATAAATTTTATCGGATTGCTAGTGGCGACGCGTTCGTCCCTAGGTGATAATTACGGCCGCCAAACTTTTCCATAATTTTATAAAACTTTTCCGCAAAGTACGATTAAGGGGGAACAGGCGCTTTCCTAAAGTTAGACCCGCTTCTCATTAAAGATGGTGTTTATTGGAATTGTTATGCATCCTCTTTTGCATTTTTATGGATAGTCCTTGGCAGTAACGTGGGCCAGCGTTTTTCTTACTCCGCATCACGCGGTATCGTATTTTCACGTTGGCGGATCGTTTGCAGCGCAATGAGCCGCTAATAAGTACATGAAATGAATATTCATAGAGCTTGTAATAAAATATTATGATCTTACAATTCAGGTAAAAATTAAAAAAAAAAAGAATGTTGTTTTCATACATCTCGCTAACGGAACGGTCAACGATATAGAAATACGGGAAAGTATTTCTCGCAAATCTCATTTACTGCGGCCGCTACTAATAAAATAATTAAGCACGTGTAATGGATTTAATACAACGTGACTACATACATAACGCCGCATATACTGCGTACTGCAACGTATGAATATCCGATAGATACGAAAAACAACTTGCGTAACATTAGTTAATTTATGCCGGACGTATACATGTGCCAGTAATATGCAAATTAACTGTATCCATATGAGTATAGATTTATAGAGGTATACCGAGTATTATAAGCATTATAGAGAGTTGTACAATATATACAGTATATCATATATTATTTTTCCTAATTTTGTTTTTATTCTTTTATGTGTTTTTTATATCTCGAGATATTATTATGCAAAATAATAGGCTTAGAGTTGTCAGTTGACAATGTTGACATTAGATTAAAGTAACACGTCTGTGTCGATTCTTGATCGATTTTTGACGTTAGTAGTTTTATTTTTCTCAGATTGTCAGTTACATAATTTAGTTAAATTTAACAATATTT